AGATAGATAGATAGATAGATAGATAGATAGATAGAGTGGGGCAAACAGGTGTTGTACCTTAATCCTCTCCTTCAGGGGACAATAGTTACATGCTTAAAATTCCGTTCTCTTTGAGTCAATTCAGTTGTACTGCCCGGAAGGGAACTCAGCTTTACTTTGTTACTCTGCTTTTATCGTCTTTTTGAACAGCAGATATTTCATCACAGTTTCACTCTCTCCTTGGGATAAAACAGGAATAAATCTGTAACTCTCTCAACGTCTTAAGCTACGGTTAAATTTAATTTAATTGAACTTGGTAGTGTTTTTCCTCGCGGTTACGCGGCCGGGATTCATCGTCCTCTATTCCTCCACGATCAGATTCCATTTTTAGGTTGGCCTGAGATGCCTTCGGACTGGGAAAATGTCTCACAGAAAAAGTCTACTTGCATATGTAGATGGGGGAAGTGCTAATGTGTGTCATTTAGACCCTGACCGACTGGATTGACCACAGCCTTTGGTACAGACCATCCTTGTCCCGCTGTTGTCCTCCTCTATCTGGTCTACATTTCACCTCTTTATTTGTTAAATACCTGGAGGAAATTCTGCTTTTCCACTTGAATATTTATACTCCCTTTCTCCCCCCATTTTTCATCCTGGTCCTCTCTATCTCTTCCTCTTTCTCTCTGTATCTTTGTGTGTGTCACTATCCGTTTCCATGCCAGCTGGGAGCATTTCTTCCCCTAAGGTGTTTATTGACAAGTTCTCTCTCTTGCTTTTTTATCAACACATCCAGTCCTCCCTCCCTCCCTCCCTCCATCCCTCCATCCGGCCAGCCTTTGCCAGACCTCCCCGGCGACTGTGCTTGGGTTGGCTCAGGAATGAAACTTTGTTGTCGGTGACACCTGGCTCAGCTCAGAGTGCCTCAGCACAAAAAATAAATATTCCGAACGGTTTCGGGCTTTGTTAAACAGCAGCGGTGGAAAAAGATAAGAAATATCAGGACAAAGAGGAAATAGGAGGACGTGCGGGGGGACTCTTGCGACCGTTTACTCGAGTTGAGTTGAGTGGAACTGCAGTTCGCATTCTGAATGATAAGTTAAGACCCACATGACAAGTCACTACATTTTATTCTGACAGTTCTGTCTCAGAGAGAAGATTTGCATTTCTGTAGTTTTCCTTTATACCTTCTTTTCTTCTGCTTACAAAATGTATTATAATTAGCTTTGACCACATTATAAAAAACATAATCATAACAATGCATAAAACATATTGCATACTGTATGTAGATGATATTATAACTAAAACAGATACATGTAGTACCATTTTTCTGTAACTCAAAATAGTTAAGGTGGATTTCAGTGTCCCCCATAACACAATTTCAGCAAACCACCTTAAATAGTACCTTTAGTAGACAAGAAATCATAATGTTTTTATCATATAATACAATGGAGATTACCTTAATCTCAGTATTTGCCATGCAATATAACATATGGGAACTTGTCTTTCCCCCCTTAAAACTTTATCTCATACCATATGAGGTGAAAGTAGAAAAATTGTAAATCGGTCATTTAAAAGTCACTTGGTCAATTGTCCTGTTTCTCCCTCTCCATAAGATTTTTAATCAGATGGATATTTTAACATTTTGTGACAGTAATAAACTACGCTTTATGTTGTCATATTAAGTTTTATTTTAAGATGTTAAACTGGTCATTATTTGTATTGGTTTTCTTCCCTCGGATCCTTCCAGACTGGCCATGCGTAGGTTAGTTTAGAGATTCTTACATATGGTCAAACATTAGCGCTTTCTTGCTGTAGCTGAGTCAGGTCATCAGAATCAATCTGTGAGAGTTTCACAACCTGTTGTTTGGTCGAAAGCAATCTGGTGCAATTACAAAGACATAACCGGAGGGATTTTCACCGTATAAATCACGTGAAACGTTTGAATAGAGGAAAAGTCCTCAACATAAAGCTTATGCCACCCTTTGTGTCCCCTTAGGTTTTAGTTTTTAGCTGTCTTTTCTTCTCTTCAACTGATAATAAGCAAGTTTCTCAGGCTTTTTTTTTCAAATGTGTAACAATTTAGACTTAAGTCTAATCCTTTTTTATTCATGTCCCTATAGCTAGGCATTTTCAAAGGAATATGTTTGTTTGTTAATGTATAAAAAAGGCAGATGATTGGGTGTTTTGCAATACGCAACACTATAGAACCATTTAAAAAAGTAACTTCTTAGGACCTGCCAGCATTTAAAGATATATCATTTTTTAAATAATATTTTTATATCAGTGCAAGAAGCGTCGGGCCAAAAAAAATAGACCGGACACTGGTCCTGAGAGATGCTGCTGGCCCTTCAACGGATCCATCTACTGTTCACTGAAGCCTCATCAGAAATGGTCTCCAAGGAAGAATGGCTGTCAAGAAGCCATTTCTGTGGAAGGAAAACAGCGAGAAGGGGCCGAAGTATGTCAAATGACACCGGAACTGTACAGAAAATCAATGGAAACGGGTCTTACGGAGAGATGAATCCTCCACTGAGCTTGAACTCAACATTATTAAGGCAGTGTGGGATCATCTTGACAGAGAATGGAACAAAAGGCAGCAAATATCCAAAGTGGAGCTTTAATCTTTCAAGAAGACTGCAGCACTATTCCTGGAAAACCACCCACTATTCTTCATTCTTAGGATCCCAACTGCTATTGAGCGAAAGATGTGGTATCCTGGATAGATCACCAGTCCACCAAAAAGTCAGAAGAAAATAAAATGCAAACAAACAAGACGACTTGGCTGAGAGGGTTCAGATTGTTGATGGACAAATTTAGCCGTGCACAACGTTGACTTTCAAGTTCGGCCCAGTACACAAGCTAAAAGGAAACTCTTTATGTTTGCGTGTTGTGATAAATTAGATTAATTTGCTCCCTGTTTTCCTGATAAAAGAAATTAGGGATGACTTTTTACACACACACAGTACTGTAGGTCCTGTAATACGTTCAGAAGCAGCTGCTTGTGTGTGTATGATGGTTTATTCAGAAAATCTTAAGACTTGAGCATTTTCTTGTTCTATTTACCCTGAGCAGTGATCCCTTTGTTTTTGGAAGATACGAAAGCTTTCATGCGATCTTCAGACATAGACTTAGTTCACTCCAAAAAACAAACTAGATGCATTTAAAATGAGCTTTAACCTGACCACCTTGTACATCAATATTTTGTGGTTGTTTCATTAATTAAGACGCTATATATTCCTATATGTAATAATAGAATTGAATAAGTTATCCCACAGAGGGGATATTTAGTTTTTTTTAGAATATATGTAAACATATATATGTGTTTCAATTCTAAAAAAAGGTATAACCCTAACCCTGTATTTTTGTATTCTTGTGGGCACCATAGGCTCTCATCTTAGGCCCCGTCACTAACCCACTTATGCATACATGGATCTGTGTAAGATATGACAAGGCTGTGTCTGTGCATATAGCAGAGCTCCCGGGTGTGTGTGTGTGTGCGCGCATGCGTGTGTGTGTGTGTTTCAGAGTCGTTGTGCGATAGCGTACACACCTCTGTCAATCACCGCGCTGCCCTCTATTGCTTCCTTTACTGTCTCTCTCTCTCTCTTCCTCTCCAACATCTCCGAGTGGCACGGACATGTGCCGGCGAGGATGGAGGGATACCACGAGAAAGCGGGATGGTTTAGAGGGAGAAAGAACAAGCAAAATCCCGCCACGTCGCTGGTAAAGTGTGACAAGTAACAAGGAGGGAAAAACACTACTGAGAGCAGCTGATGATGATGCCGAGGGAGAAAATGGGCAGATGAGGAAAAGGAAAGGAACATAAATTATAATAGAGGGAAAGAAAAGGACATAGACAAATAGAAAGTAGAAAGATGACAGCAATCCAGACAAAGCGAACAAGCAAGGGGAGGGAGATAAGAGATGGAGGGGGGGGGGGATGGCAGGAAGAGGATGAATAGGGTAATAATGGCTCAGTGTGAGAGCTGTTGGAGAAGAGAGAGAGCGGCTGAGTGAAGAAGAGAACAAAATGAGGCTGAGGGCACTCAGACAGATAGAATTAGACACACTGCAGAGGTTCAATGTCCGCGAATTCACAAGACACAGCCAGAGTGTGTGTGCATGTGTTAGCGTGTGCTAATATAATGTGTGCGGGCACTGTACTGATAGGATGGCTTGTTTTGGTGTGTTTGAATGAAGTGATGGAGATGAAGTATTTCAGACAATGTCCACAATTTTTCAACCAACCAACCTTTTTTTTTGTTAAAGTACAAAAATAAATAAATAAATAAATAAAAACAAATATATATGTATATATATATCATATATAGAAAATATCATATATTAAAAAATATATAAAAATATATATATATATATATATTAAAAAAAAGAATATATATATATATATTTATTTATTTTATTTATTTATTTTTACGGATATATTTGGACAATATTCACAATTTTTTAACCAAAAAAATCCTTTTATTTTTTTTGTTAAAGGAAAAAATATATCCATATCTACACATACATATATTCAGACAATGTTCACAATTTTCTAACCCAAAAAAAAAAATCCTTTTTCTTTTTGTTTGAATTGTTTAAGGATTCTGTTGAACTATCTTAATTGTTTTTAGGAATGAACATGTAGGATGCTTTTTATAATGGTCGGCATGCCCTCCTGTATGTTTTTAGGCTTGAGGGGGAAAGGTGACGGACAGAGGAATGCTAAGGTGGATAAGGTTGTTTGAGCCTGAGTAAAAATAGCAAAATGACATGAGGGCTGGTGCTAAAACACGGACTCCGGTGTATTTTTCTTGTCTCGGTCTCTGAGAGGGAACGCTGACAGAGCCCGATCATTAAGACGGCGTTTGAACGCACCACAAGCCTAATGTGCTGTAAAGGTGCATCGCGTCCTCGGCGCTCATTGTGTAGTTATCACTTCACTTTGTGCGACGTGATTGTAAATCCACCTCTCTCTCTCTCTCTCTCTCTCTCCCCTTCTGCCTCCCTTTCCACAACAGGCAGAGATTGTCAAGCGTCTCAGTGCCATCTGTGCTCAGATCATCCCTTTCCTCTCTCAGGAGGTAAGTGTCACCACTGCCAGGCACACTCCTGGGCACACAAAATATGAGCAGGCATGAGGGGGGGACACGGCTATTAACACCTCAACAATATCGGCAAACAAAATGTGGCAATATCATTTGTAGCAGAGTAAGTTAAAAGGTGTAGATGTTAAACGCTGATTCTAATTTGTTGCCTAAATGCGCTAATTGGGACGACTCGTACACAAATTGGGCCGTATTTGAAGCCGGTTCATTGACAAAAGCACGGCTTATTAACTTTCTCTTGTCGATTAAGACAACAGAAAGCTCCTCCCATTTATTTTGCAGCCACCCCAGAGCAATTTTGGTCCAAAGAAAATGTAAAAAAGTCGCTGGGTGAAAATAAGTATAGGTCAGATGATCATAAAACTTAGCAATTGGATGTTTTACATGTAAGCAAACGCATCATTCTCCACCAGTGACTCTTAATTCAATGCTGGATGATAAGCCAGAATAATTTTAGCCCAAAATACATGGCTTCCCTCTATTCTTACAGTTGTCTTACAGTGAGACATTCTCTAAATGACTAGGTTGGATTAGACACGTTCACTGACTCTAGGAGAAATGGACTCTTTTGTTTTCCAGAACATTTAAATCCCATTATCATTATAGTTACTGTAATAATTCCTTAAAAGGACTCAGGGGGGCCACGTTATCTGCCGCTATCACCACTTCTGCATGTCCCCTCCTCTCCTGTTTCTTTATTAATTGCTCTTTGAAGCTGCTTTTCAGTCTCTGCCTCAAGATTTTGGTTAATGAAAGGAGCCGGGTTGCGGATCGTGGAATCGCAGCTCTGTCTTCGAGCAAATCGGATTCAAAGAAAGTAGACCTGTAGTAGTGCTTGCCCGGTTTAACTCTCTGGGATTTGAGCTTTTTTAACGCACGAACGTGGAGACTCCGCCCTGCCAACGCCTCTGTTTGCCTCTGATATTGACACTGGGCGTCGGTGTTTGGACGCCAGCTCTGTTGCACACGTGTGTGTTATCGGCGGTGCTTTGATTTATTCAAACAGGGCTGAGATTTTTGTTATTTGTAGGCGTGCGTAAATGGCAGTTTGTGTGCCCATGTGTGTGTAAAATTGTGGTTATTCAAAGCAAACATTCAGACTTTATATTAACTCATTGGCTGGCAAAGACGTCTATGGACGTCTTTTATGTTTTTCAACGAGAGTGGCTTGGGGGACGATCTGCTAAAGCTTGTCTGTAAATATCAGGCTTCTAGACAGAGTATGTACTAAAAAAATGACCCTCTAGGTGGCAGTGCCACTTTTGATGGGAGATGAGCATAGATTGTAGGCAAATAAAAAAGCGTAACGGTTCGCTATGAGAGAACATGTTGCCGGTGAGACGCAAGTCCAGGAAGAACGGAATAAGGTAGAAACTAAAACATTTTTCCTGATGAAAGAAAAGAGTCTACTCTTTCTTTTGGTGTGTTCGGTGTTTACATAGTCATAGCACAAACTATTCTGTGGCTCTTGAAAAATCAGTCAAAATGCTAAAAAAACTCTGGCAGTCAATGAGTTAAAAGAAAAAAGGTTTATCCATCGGGTAAAAGTACAGTACAGGACAGTCCAACCCAGGGCTGTGTTTGTCACCTCACTGTAACAGTGAATTTGTGTTTGTGCGTACAGTTTAAGCCGCTCGCTTAAGTTTGTGTGTTAATGTTTGTGTAGCACCAGCAACAGGTGGTCCAGGCGGTGGAGAGGGCCAAGCAGGTCACCATGGCCGAGCTCAACGCCATTATCGGGGTGAGTCACCTCCATCCATCCTCATAAACACACCCACACACACAGACACACACGCACACACTTCCAGGAAAAATGGTCGAATCGAGTGACTAATTCTTTGTTTTTCAAGCATCTCTCGAGGTGTTTACATTTTCCAACAAATACTTGAATTTTCGGGTGCGGCTTCAGTGGAGATTGATGAGCCTCAAGTTGAGACCGGTGTCGTTGTGCAATGATGGAAAATTTTAGCAGACTTTTGTTGATGACAAAAAAAAAAGTATTAATATACTTGATTCTTTCTTGCTTCTGAGTCAAAAGCAGACTATTAATCAGCCAATTAAAAGAAAGTGTTGTACTTATCAACTATTATGTTAACAGTTGATATTTTTTCTGATAATTTGACTGATCAGGCCAAAACTTTAGTGAATTTCCATGCTCTATTTTCTATAGGACAATACACCACAAACAAGGGCTCTTTAAGAAAAGTCTCTTTTTGTGAGTTTCTCTATATTTGTAACATATCTACAAATATATTTGTAACATTTTTACTTCATTTCTGAGATGAACAATTACATGCCAGCATAAATATTACTTAAAAATAAATAAATAAAATAATTAAATAAATATTGCTTAATTAAAAAAAAAAAAATAGTTCAACATGTTTTGTCCCAGCACCGTTGCCTCATAGTGAGACGGTTCCCGGTTCGAGTTCCCGGGGGAATTGGAACCTTTCTGTGTGGGGTTTGCATGCCCTCCCCCTGCCTATATGGGTTCTCTCCAGGGACCTTTTTAACCTAAGTGAAGTCCATTTTGGCTGAAATCTGTGTTATGTTGTGATGCATCAAACGCTGGAGCGAGAACACAGCCCGAGGAGGAAGACATGGAACAGTGAAAGATATGGGGGCCATTATCTCTGACTGAGGTTTTAGTTCTTTTCTTTTTTTTTCTTCAGCCTGCAGACTTGATCAAAGCCCACTTGCTGCCCAGTACACTCAGTGAGAGGGATCATTTTCCTCTTGAATGCCTCAGACCTGTGATAGCGTTCGAGCGATTAGGACTTCTAATGAACTCTTTGCATTTAAAAGCAAGAAAAGAGCTGTCAGAACGCCGGTCAGACCAATGCGAACGGATGCTAATCAGAGCTCATTTTGGAGAATTCAGAGCTAAAAGTTGTTTTAATTGTCCACCCGTGCTTACAGGTCCAACCATTTTGAACATTTTGGCACGTGCATGTTAACCCGATTCTTTAGCTGGAAACCTGAGAATATACCAGAACAAAAATAAAATTTATTGGACACAGTTAGGTATATCAGACAAAAACCCTGCATTATCTCTTTGGTTCGATCCGCCTCCTCAAAGAAGGACTGGACACAACCAAGTCCTGTTGGCTAGTTACCTCTGGGCATAAACAGGCCAGGTCCTAATTAATGCAAATGACTTTGGAATGTGGTAACAAATGGTGTGTGTGTGTGTTGACCTAAAGACGTGGATCTAATGCAACAGAAAAAGAAAAAGGGAGAAAAGAAAAGACTAAGGAGAGAGTATTTGGTCACAGCCATGGACTTCAACACAAAATATAGTTCTATACGAAAATAAAACAATCAGTAATTGACATAGCATACAATGCTAAAATGAGTAGTTATAGCCAAATTGTAACACAAACAAAAACAACACAACAGAACAACTTGGAATAGTGATTTGGGCGTTAGGCGTGTGTGCACGGTGTGGTGTCCCCGTGCGTTCCCCGGCAGGCAGTGGGGCTCCAGAGTGCTGTGGTAGATGGGGCTTTCCGCAGCTTGTCGGAGCACATTACACATTGATCACATTACAGTGTTCTTAAAGCCCTTTGTTCCTCCCGGCTCTGCAAACACCGTAGCCGCCGAGGTGTGTGCGTGCGTGCGCAATGCGCTACCTTGCACAAAACAACACATTATAAAGCTCCCCTCAGGATAACAGCATTTCTTTATGTGCAACGTCTCCTCTGTTCTCTTTTTTTATGATGTTTTCATTCTCCTTCGCACATGTTCCCATCCGCCGATCCATAATCTTTGATCATTTTCTGAATCCTACTCAGGTCGTGTCCTCATTTCTCCTGTCCTTTTTTGTGTGTTTTTTTTTTTTTTGGTCTTATCTTTGACTCTTTGTGCCGCACACTTTTCATCTTTTTTTTCTGCACTCGTCCACTTTCTCTATTGTCCTCGTTATTTATCTAGTTGTACTTCCCTTCTCACCGCTCCCATAATTTCTCACAGCTTCAGGTTATTGTTTGCTCTCTGACTCGAGCACTTTTTTCCCTCTTCTGTTATCCTCTTTGTGTCCTCCCCTGGCCTTTTTTCTGCCTCTCTCCCCTCTCCTGCCTTTCCTTCATATTAAATCCCACTTCCTCCTAATCCTTCCCTTTTCTTCAATTTATGTTCGTTCCTTTCATTTTATTTTTTATTTTTTGGCTCCATTTCTGTTCCCTTTCCTTTTTCTCGTGTATCCTGGTTCGATTGTCTTTTGTTCTACTTTCCATTTCCCTGTTTCTCATCTCTGGTGTCCCCACTCACCTTTTAATCGGCTCATCTCGTTCTCATCCTATCTACCCGGGTCTTAATATCCTATCACGTGTGGATTTAATTTCATTCGCCTTCTCCATCTCTCAAGTTTCTTTCAACCTCCCTCGTCCAGCCGCTGTGCTTCACTCCCCTGATTTCTCTCTTCTGGTTTGTTCTCGGTCGGTTTGGTTCTTCTAACCACCTGTTTTCCTGTTTGCGCTCCCTCTTTTCCCCCGTTCCCACCCGTCCCTGTGGCCGCAGCAGCAGCAGCTCCAGCACCTGTCTCACCACGCTCCGGGCATCCCCCTGACCCCGCACCCGTCCGGCCTGTCCCTGGGCGCCGGCGGCTCGGGGCTGCTGGCGCTGACCGGCGCCCTGGGCGTCTCGGCCCATCTCGCCTCCAAAGACGAGCGCAACCACCTCGACCCCGAGCATCTCAGAGGTACGGAGCAACGAGCGTCTTAACCCCAAAGAAAAGGATCAAATTATCATTTTAAACTGAGATTAATACTTGTTTCTACTTTCTTTGGACATTTCTATCTAAAAAAATAAGATTAAACATGAAATATCTCGGTAGTGCCAAAGTCCATTGCACACATATTACATCAGTGTTATTCTGTAGACAGAACCCGGGTCCATCATGGTTTATTTTGAGTCTACATACCGACTGAAAATATTTTGCTGTCAAGCAGACCCGTAGCTGTTGAACAGCTAAAAAACATACGTCAAGCCCAGACTGGAAAAACACGGCTTTCCAAACTAAACCTATTGATTTTCGCAGTTCTCGAATGCTCACAGTGTTGTTAAAAAGGAGATGATGCAACTCTGTGGTAAATATGCCCCTGCTGAGAGTTTTTCAGCTTACAGCTGGCATTGAGTTCCAAAAGAGTATATATAGATAATTTGCGGAATATTGTACTCATTGAAATTTTGAAAAGGTATTTGGAGCTCAATTACTTTTTTACAAGTTGTGCAAAAGTCTGGGTACACATTTGTGCTTTTTGTATGTGTTTAAATTGCATTTATGCCATGAATTTCATTGAATGTGGCAAGAAATGCGACAAATCATCTGTTTTCAGAAAGAAAACTCACATTTTGGACTTCGTTTGAGTGTTTTTCTTCATATTCGTGCCATAACTGGGACAGACGTATTAACGGTGCTTGTGTAAATGCAGAGGAAATGCTTTTTCTCCTCCCATGAACTTCCATTCACCCTGGATGGAATATCTTATCTGTGCGCTGAGTTTCAGGCTCTACGCCAACAGAGACCTCTCTGTAAATATACTGCTGAGAGCTAGCAACAGGAAGAAAAGGGAGAGCGGAAAGAGTGAGCCGTGTGTAGGCAATGTTTTCATATTGCCGTGTTAAAGAATCTATAGAATAGCCTCCGCATGTATGCAGCTCTTGTTCTTTAATATGAGAGCGGGGGAAAAAATTGAGCAGCAGGAGAAGACGGCCAGCTTTGTGTAGATGAGGAACAGAGAGAGAGGGCAAGACAGAAGGCAGAGCAGACTGGAATCTGGCACAATAGCGGGTCTGTGTCTTTATTAGAGAGAGGCCGGCGTAGTTGGGCTTAACCTTGGCTGACACAGGGCTTTTTGTTGTTATTATTACTATCTGCACTGACGTCAAACTCTCTCTTTTCTCGGCTCTGTTCTCTGGTTTTTCTCCACCCGAACCTGACCTAGAGGGAGCACCCAGCAGGGTGAGTAGCTCCCTGTGCACGTATCACACATCTATATATACAGGACTGTCTCAGAAAATTAGAATATGGTGATGAAGTTCTTTATTTTCTGTAATGCAATTACAAATCATGAAATGTCATACATTCTGGATTCATTACAAATCAACTGAAATATCGCAATCCTTTTATTGTTTTAACATAGCTGACTATGGCGTAAAGCTGAAGAAAACTCAAAAATTCGATATTCTAATATTTTGAGATAGGATATTTGGGTTTCTTAAGCTGTAAGCCATAATCAGCTATATTAAAACAATTAAATTCTTGCGATATTTCAGTTGATTTGTAATGAATCCAGAATGTATGACATTTCGTGTTTTTTAATTGCATTACAGAAAATAAAGAACTTTATCACAATATTCTAATTTTCTGAGACAGTCCTGTATATATACATAAATATATGTATTTCTTGTGCTTATGCCACAGTGATAAACTGAGGGGAAACTGTGAAAGACAGTAAAGTGGCCTCTAAAAAAAAAAAAGATGGCTGGAACTCTGCCGGGAGCATGACAGCTCAGCATCGGCACAATAGCTGCTCATCACCATCAACCTTGAGCTTCACAAGGTTTTTTTTCTCCGTGACACTATTGTGCTGGCGCTCTCCAGGCTCCACGGGGGTTGCATAAACGGAGGGGGAATACACGAGCAAAGCAACTGTTTGTTTGTCATCGCTACAAATCTTCCGGAATCTGGAAGATTAACCGAACAACTGAAGGGATGATAACCAAGTTAGCAGCTGAAGCTTTTACAAAGCGCCTCAGCGTTAATGGAAACGTGTTATTCACCCACATAAAATGATTTAAAATTGAAATAGTCAGTTTTATATCTGATGAAAGACCGAGTCGATGTTTCATAAACCCTTTCCAGCTCAAAGCCACCCGGTTGGGAATAAACGGTATAGAAAATCGATGGATGGATGCTCGACATGTTTTCAATATCCTAAAGACGGCTCATTCTCTACATAGATTGTACCAACTTAAACAAACTTGAAGCATATATAACTTAGTTTTCAGTTAAGCTGCCATTCGGATGATTTTTGCTTTTAAAGAAGCAAAAGAAAGACTAAAGAGAAAAAGAGAGAATATTCTACCATCTTTTTTTTTTCTGGAACATGAAATTGATTTACAACCACAGCTGTCCTTATTTTCCCTCCCCTCGCTCTATCTATCTACAACCAAACCCTTAGCATGATTTAGCTTTGAAACATAATGCTGATTGTTATGCACCAGTTCCTCTCGTGAGTGGATGATTTATGTCGAACTCAGTCGAGCATCGCAGCCTTTATGAAAGAAGGAAAACGAGAATAAAAACAGGTAGTTCGACCACAGTACCCAAAAGAGCCACACATGGATGAAAACAGGTTGACATTTGAATTAACTGGGGAGGTGACGATGGACCGCGATCAAAAAGAAGATGAAACACAATCGTAAAGGAAGCTGGTTTAAAGAGGCCTGCGTGGCTTATTCTCCCTTCTGTTGCACCTCTTCAATTCATTCTAAGCCCTACCTGTTGTGGCCGTCCTTACAGAGAGACCGAGAGTGACCAGTGGCCTGCACCAAACATCTTTCTCTCCCCTGAACCCCAAAAAATAACAGGACGCTTCCATTGGATTTCAGTGCTGAAAATTAAGACAGATCACGTTGTAATTACTACTTAGTTACCCAATAACAAGACTTTTTACACGAGGACTGACACGTCAAGGGGCAGATCACTAATTAGCTTTAAAGACGGTTATGTGGGTTGCTATGACGACAGGATGCCCTTACGTCCGCTGTGGGATGTGTTGGGTTCCATCCTGAGTGCTTTTGTTTAGTGTCGCCCGTTCTCCCCGCAGAGCAAGTCGGTGTCGTCGACGGACAGCCAGCCCCCCGAGGAGCGGCAGGGCCCGTCCGGGGGCTACTCCTCCTCGCAGGGGGGGGCCGAGGCCAAGAGGAGGCGCTGCGATGACAAAGAGTCCCTGCCGCCACACTCCTACGTACGTAGTCCGCGCGTCTTTGTGGATTATTTAGGCCAAACAGTACATTTACGGACGTTTTTTTTTGTCTCCAGGACCTCTCGAAAAGCTCAAAATCCCCAAATCCCATCCACCCATTGACACACTCTTATTATCTCCTGCCAAAAGATCCCCTTTAACATGAGGGAACAGGGGATTTGGAGCACAGAACAAGGCAATAAATTATCTTTTGGGTTTTTTTTGTATCTTGGGAGCTGGGACTAAGGCATTTGAAGTGGTCATTTTGTAATTATTTGGTCAGTTGTTCAATTCCTTATGTTCTCAGTCCATACTTTGAATTTCCTGGGGAAATTTCCACTTAACTCAATGAACAAATTGGAATAGCTTGAAAATGTACCTAATGAATGTCTGATCAAATTGGGCAAACGTGACTTTGAAAGTTGTTGAATCTTTTGATTACAAAAGCAATATATCATTGTCCGTTAACAGTCAAAAAGCGGCAGTAAATCTGAGAGCAGGGTAAAAAAAACTGTTTTAGGGGGAAGCAGAGCATGTCTTGATGAAAGCAGGGGACTTCAAGTGTGTTCAGAGTGTAGTCAAATATCGAAGCGTGAAACTGCTCTCTTAATGCTTTCAAATTGGCAAGAAACCCTCTTGATTAAGGATAATATTGAACCTTGAAACATTAATGATCCAAGCATAGAGAAAGTCATTCATAATAAATGCTATTAGCGCTGTCTACAAAAATGAGCAAAAAAAGCAATTTGTCTGTGTAAACAAACCAAAGATGGCACGAAGTCCTGCAGTTTTTTACATGCGGCCGTGAAACTATAGGCCACACAGGACGTTTTCGGCCCCCCCTCGCCAATTAGAGCGTTTTGGTTTAGATGGGTCCGGCGGGAAAGAGCCAGCAGCCGGAGGGTACGTGATGCCAGAGGGGAGAAAGCTGAGGCCGAGAGCTGTAATGAGTTAGATGGCTCTGTGTTTGCAGTCCCGAGCATTGATTGACACCAGGATTCTGTCTTTGCAAAAATCTTCTCCATTAGTGTCTGCCCGCCCATGTTTTACCTCTTGTTTATCTCTGCTCCCCTTTTAACAGTCGTATATCTGTGTCTTTTTTCCCCCTGTTCCTTCATTTCTCTGCATTTCCTTTTCTTGACTTGTTTTTCCTTCTTTTTTCTCTTCATTTTCATTCCATGTTCAACCTTCGTTTTTTTTGTCTCATTCCCTTTTGCTTTTTTTTTTTATTCCCCCTTCTACTCTCTGTGTGATTTTTCTCTCTCTACGCTGTTTGCGTTTTTTTGTTTTCCTTTTCTTTTCTTTTTTTTTTCCCGATCCACAAATAGGTTGATTGCATTGTTCTGTTTGGTTTTGCATAATTGGGCGGTGACGTCACCCGACTCTTATGTCAATAGGAATATCTAGCTTTGAGGGCATCAAAGGGGTTGCCATGGTGACTAAGTGCCATCGTTCTCACCCCCCTCTCTCCCAAAAAAAAGAGAGAGAGAGAAAAAAAGAGATTGCAAGATGGCAGACCGAAAATGGGCCGTTGATGTCGGAAAATGTGTGTCCACGTTGTCGTGGGAAAATGAAATATTGTCCATATGAGATGTTTGAGAATGTACAGTCCACAATCCATCAATGTTCAGTGTTGCATGGAGGAACGACAGCCAAAGGAAGCAGGGAGCAGGCAGCGATATCGACATATCGATCCGTGTGTGTGTGCACTCGCCTATCTGTGTGTGTCTCTGTTATTACACTTCTGTATTTACATGTCCGGGATTCCGTACGTCTGCGTAGGCGGTGGAGCGGCAAATCTTCCTCGACATTTCAGCCCTTTTTCATTTCCTCATGTCTTCTTTGCTCCTCAGGACAGCGATGGAGACAAGAGTGAAGACAATCTTGTGGTGGACGTCTCCAACGAGGTAAGTTTTACCGTTTCAGCATCCCCAAATCGTTTCCACGTGCGACTGAAACTGCTGGAAAACAGCAGAAAAAAACCTGTTCTGGTTGCTGGACCTTTCTGTTCGGAATCAAAAGCAGAAGAATCCACGCCTGAGTTGTACCATTACGATTTAGATGTCTCAGAAACCGAGTCGATATTATCTTCTGAGGCAGTAATTCAGTGGTAAAGATGAGTCACAGCTTCAAAAATGTCTTTAACAGGGGTGTTTTTTGTTTTTTTTTCCTTCCCCCCCTCTGCGCAGGATCTGTTTTTATTCCAAAAATATGAATACAAACGATGAGCTCATGCGACTCGCTGAATATTTTGTGGCCAAAGTAATTGTCGCCACCACACACAGTTTTGTGATCTCAGTTGGCAGCATGAGTGTTTTACCCTCAGTGTGATAAATATTTTTTGGGGGGGGGTCTAGTAGCAAGTCTAGTCTTATTACTAAGGTAATGTAGCTTCAAGTAAATCAAGTGATTCTGTGTTCTTTGCTGAAAATACAAAGAGAAACTCTCTACAGGTTACTCAGCATAATAAAAAACATCCATAATCTAACAGATCTCTTAAGAATTGTTTTCAATCAAAGGCTTTTTCATCTCCTGGACAATCGGGAAAAGTCTAGAGGGTCATTTATTTATTCATTATGTTTTTTGATATGAAAAAAGATGAAAAAACAACCAAAAAAGTAATATTATTACTACTAATAATACTCCAAATACATGAATTATGCAAGACTAGAATATATACGCATGTTATTTATTACCAATGCGACTCAGTTCCACACGTGTCTTCAAAGAGGAAGAGGAGGAGAGAGCTAATCCGCCCTGAAATGTGGATTCCACAGGGGAAATCACCATTTGATAACAGATCTTCGACAAAGGTCACGTGGTGACAGCGACGTCTTCAAAAGTTACAGATCAGATCGAAAGAAAAACATATTTTCGTCAGATCGTTTGAAAGTAGTCTACCCTCGCTGGAAATGTTGCAAAGGCTGGAAAGTATCAAAGTCTCCCTGCAGCGTCAAGAATGTCCTCATGTGTCAGCTAAACAGTTACATGTGGGATTCTTTGTTTTTTCTTTTTTTTTTCTCAAGTCGCAAGTTATATTCCAAAAAAAAAGGCTCTCTGCTTCTTTTGTGCTGGTGAATAAAGCATAGAGACAAGCCCTGGGAAGACAAGTGTCACCCAGGGGACTAACTCTGAGAGTCCTTGGTACATCTCCTCTTCTGGATAACACTATGCCCCCTCACTTCCAGTACTTTCTATCATCTGCCTTTACATGTGAATAAGTTTGGCTTTTCAGTGTTTTCGATTTGTATTTGTATTTCCAATGGAGGTGCAAATGCCAAAAACTCTGGTTTCAGTTCAATTCAATTCAATTCAATTTTATTTATATAGCGCCACATCACAAACAGAGCAAGTCAGACCCTACTCTGAAGTTATTTACAGAAACCCAACAATTCCCACCATGAGCAAGCACTAGGCGACACAGGCAAGGAAAAACTTAAACCTATAATGCCAAATGTATCATATTTTATTCATATGGTTTCTGAAGTCTTTTGGATCTGAGACTTTTTGCATCATTCAATGGTTAAAGCTTTGCTCAAACCCCTGTTGTACACATTCAGATATACCAGCGAGTAGAAGACTACACCAAAATATATTTTTGACATGTACGCTAATTTGATCAAAAATAATTTCTGTTTTCTTTTCTTCATATGTTGTTGAGGGACCAAAGAAAGACTTCAGACTAAAAAAATCTTCCTATTTTTCTTGGATCAGGCTTTAAAGGGTTAAATCGTATTCAGATGCTTTATTTAATTTTGTTCTCAGTCAGAGAGATGATCAGAATCTTGCCCCCCCCCCCCCACAGGCTGGCAAACATTTACATGTGAACATCAGGAGTTTGGGAATTAGTAGTGTTCCGATTTGAACAATTTGAGCACAATTGGACCCATCGGTTATGAGCAAAAAAACAGCTCAGCACGCCCCCAAGTTTCCTCCTGTCGTTTTTTTTTTTTTTTTTTTCTTGGCTTGCTCTCACGCTTCTGATTATGTCCACGTGTGCACATCTGTCAAACGTGAAACGAGTTAGCAGGTAAGCAGCTCGTTCGGCTTCCCGCTGCAGTTTCCTTGTAAATAGGGAGAACTCTTGTGTAAGCTTATTATCAGCTGCCATTGTTTGAGCTTTTTTTGTTTTTTTGCGAACCCTGCTCATATATATATACACACACACACACACGTACACACACGTGCGCCCACCAACTGATGCTGCACACGCATTTACGAACACTTTACCCATCATCTATTATACGCCTCATCCGTGTGTATTTTTGTGCTCCGTCTACACTCTTGAAACCTCCATTCTTCCGTGTCTCCACTTCTTCCTTTTGGTTTGCATTCCTTTTTCTCACAGCTGTCACAGCGCTCCGCCCCCTCCACCCTCTCCTCATTAGATAACTGCAGTCTGCCTCGTTTAATATATGCAAAGCCGTTTATGCCCCTGGAATGTTTTTAGTTCTTTAAATACTTCACGCTGCGTTCCAAAACAAGTTTCATCCAAAGCCCTCTGTAGTTTGATATCGCGCACAAAAGCAGAACTGGTCTCCTGTGCCGCTCGGAAACTGGTACAAGAAGAAAAAAAAGAAGAAGAAAAGAAAAGAATTGACAAATGTTGATAAAGAGAGAATAAAAAAGGAGAAAGCGCCGTTTGTGTGTCAGATGTAAATGCGTGTGTTTAAATGTGGATTGCATACATAGAGTCTTTTCCCTGGCAGGGAAATGTGTGATGTAAGTGTGTGTGCTTACTTCTTTCTGTGTGTGTTTGTGTGTGTTTGTGTGAGCACAAGCAATAAAATGGCCCTGCTGATCGCCGTGACCCAGAGGGAAGTGCTTACCCCAGCACAAAAGCATCGGTAGCAGCACCGTTATCTCCGGGTCCCCCAAAGCCCCCACCGTCTCGTGCCACGCTCCCCCGGGGCCTCCGTCCTTTCTCAAATCCCAATCCAGACTGTTGCACCAGATTTTCTGCTGGATCCAATTAGCCAGAATCAGGAGCAAAGGAATAATAATAATAATGATAATAGTAAATAATACATTTTATTTTTAAAAAGCGCCTTTCATGCCACCCAAGGACACTTTACAAAGACGATCATCATTAAAACAACATTGAAACATAAGAAACATACAAATTCATAAATACATCTTAGATAAAAACATCATAAATTAATTAAATAAAAATGGAATGAACAAAATTGTGCAGAAAGAGATCATTCTGTCGCTTTACGGGGTTGAGACGACACGAGAGAAACCATATTTCGTGATCTGGTTTCAGGTTTTTCCTTGCATGTGTCGCCTAGTGCTTGCTCATGGTGGGAATTGTTGGGTCTCTGTAATTAACTTCAGAGTAGGGTCTGACCTGCTCTGTTTGGAAAGCGCTGTGAGACAACTGTTGTTGTGATGTGGCGCTATAGAAATAAAATTGAATTGAATTAAATTTAATCTGATATTTTGACAAGAGCGGCGAACCCTTTCCTCTTCCCGTTTGTCCCCCCAAGGAGCCCAACTCTCCCACTGGCAGTCCTCCACACTCGCCGCACGGCAACGGGCTGGACCGAGCGCCCACCCTACGGAAAGAGCTCCCGGGCTCCTCCAGCACAGGGGAGGCTCCTTCCACCCCGAACCCCCGCAGCCCCACCCCAGGAAAGAACAAGGACCCCGCACAGGTGAAGATACATGTGGTAGAGAACACGTGTCTGACTTCTGTTTGGCTAAAACAGCATATTTCAGCATTTTTCACATCTTAAATGAGATAAATACTGTATATGTCTCCCTTTTGGTGGTAAATTTGGTTTCTTTTTTACCTAGTGCCCCTGTCTTAATTATCTCTGATGCATCTTAGATGTATTCATCATGACTTATTGATATTACAGTAAACCTTTGTTACAATAGTCTTTTTCTGAAAGGCTTTTTAGTCTGACGAAGATTTTAAAAAGTTGGATTTTGGATCTTGGAAATGATAAATGTCATTGGTTGTGTTAATTGTTTGACATCTCCACAGATGGACAAGTCCCAGTCTCCGTTGTCCAAATCCAGCACCCCGTCCCCGTCCCGTCACGAAGCCCTCACCCCAGGAGCCCAAGGGGCCGCCGGAGGGCCGGGTCCCAGCACCTCCTGCCTCCGGCTGGTCAACAAAGCAGCGGCCGGTGCTGACCCTCTTGGTGAGGAACCTCCTGGCCTACTGGCAGACCGGCACAGCCGCTGATATTTTCTAACTTAAAATTCATCACATATTGTAATGCTGCCCCACATTTACCGAGACGCTTTCAATATTTGTGAAACCTGCCGAATAGTGAGGAATATAATTCATGGTTATATACTTCTTTTACATATATAGTTGTTTCACAAGAGCACACAAGTCATTTGATTCAGCTAATTCAGCTTAATTATGATCAGTTGAGTTTGTGATCATTTAGTAAATGACAGCTTAAGTGATGAGCATGTTGGGGAAAAAATGAATAGCTGGACAGAACACAGAAAATGGTGAAGAGAAATGAGGTTTTCACTTGTGAAGAGTAGTGATAGCCTGTTTTTTCCCCTGCCATTCATGTCTGGAATCCAGGCTCTTCAGCATGCATTTGTCATGGAGGGCTTTTGCCAAATTATGTTTGGGTTCCGTTTTTGGCACGGTGAAGTGTTTCTCTCCCATGTGGCTGAGAGTTTGACGTCAACCCAGGAAAACAACCTTCGACCGACATCAACGCGTCACGTGACACACAATGTGGGCCTCGCAGTGGATTCTATGTTATAATTCCATCCAGTTTTACAGATTTAAACCAAAGAAATGCAGATAAATAACCTTTTTTTTTACCAGATCCAGAAAATCTGACAAAAACAGAAGATAATTTCTCTACATACTTAATTCAATGCAGAATTAAATTGGAGATTGGTTGTGTTTTTTCTCAGAAACGCATGTAAAAAACATTTACATAACATGTAAATAAAATGTACATAAGTAGACATTAGCAATGATCTGTTTTCAGGTTTTGCTTTCTGAATTCACACAATGTGGGCCTCAAAGTGGGTTCTCTGCTACAATTCCATCCACTTTTACAGATTTAAACCAGAGAAATGCAGATAAATAAGCTTTTTTTAACCAGATCCAGAAAATCTTGACAAAAACAGAAGATCATTTCTCTACATACTTAATTCAATGCGGAATTAAAGTGGAGATTGGTTGTGTTTTTTCTCAGAAACACATGTAAATAACATGTACATAACATGTAAATAAAATGCACATAAGTAGACATTAGCAATGATCTGTTTTCAGGTTTTGCTTTCTGAATTGTGCTAGTGTAGAAATGTACGCCCAAACATCAGAAAGCCTGGTTTCTTCTCTGGAACGTGCAAAGTTTACCTTGTGGTTGTTTCAGCCCTCTGTGACTGCGTGCAGTGCTTTCTTCTCCTTCTTTTGTCCCATCCTTCAATCGCTCCTTGTGTATTCCCTTCCTCCCCAGCTCTCCGCAGTCCCATGTCTGTGCCCCCCGGTTCATACCCAGCTCATTTTGGCGTGGTGTCCCATGCAGGACTCAACGGGGAGCTGGCCAGCCCGGGGGGGTTCGGAGGGGCTCTGACTCTCTCCCCGCAAATCAGCACGGCGGCCAGCGCCTACTCTCGCAGCCCCATGGTGAGCAGAGCCCAAATGATCCCTCCTTGTTTAGTTTTTTTTCAATTTATAGCTCAGATTTACAACCCAACTCATGAATTACTGCTGAAGCACTTCACGGATCGACTCTGCATCGGAAGTATCTGCATCAGCTTTCATTTTATACTCTAAACTGTCACGTTAACAGTATCTGCTCGAGGTTTCTGCCTGTTAAAAGGAAGTTTTTCCTTGCCTGTGTCGCCTAGTGCTTGCTCATGGTGGGAATTGTCGGGTTTCTGTAATTAACTTCAGAGTGCTCTTTTTGGAAAGCGCTGTGAGACAACTGTTGTTGTGATGTGGTGCTATATAAATAGAATTGAATTGAATTGAATTGAATTGCTTCACAGCTGTAGAACCCAACGACTGCAGGAAAGAGGAGTTTTGCCATTTTAGTAGCCTCTGAAAATGAGTTTACCCTTTTCCTCACTTGCTGCGACATCTTTCAAATTACTCGTCACAATTCATAACCATGAACAAGAAGGATTCAATAGTCTTCTCCTAGTTATCTGTATGAGTGAGTTTCATTCAACTGAGTGATACGCTACTGCCAAGCTAGCAATGTTTCACTTTATTTTTCTCTTCCCACCAGGTGGGGTATGACTCTCGCTCTCACCTGAGGGCCACAGGGCTGTCCTCCTCTCTGCCTGGCTCCTCTGGCGGCAAGCCGTAAGTTAAAGCTCCAATTCCACACTTAGGTGTAAAGTTCCAGTTTTTGACAAACACTGCCAAAGTGTCCATCGGGACCAGATAGAGTAGGATTCTGTGTATTCTTTTCCCTTCCTGCTGAGCAGTCTTTGTGTCTCTCCCTCTTCTTTAAAATCACTCGCTGCTTTTTTTTTTGTTGCTGTCGTTGCTTTTAAGGCATTTGAGATTTATTCAAAGATTTATTTCTGTCATGACTTTCTGGTTTGGGGCCACAAAACTTAGACTTTTTGGTAAAAAGTAACAATTATGTCAAGGAAAAATCCAGTTTGTTTTATTTCAAAGATCCCTTTGAAAGATTTCAAAGTGCATTATCTAAAATCACTTTAAGTTTAAAGTTGTGAAAAGTTTATTTTCCTCTCCCTTAGGCTCATATTGTATACACACGACATTTTACATGCGTCACTTTTCCGTTCAGCTGATGTTGACTCAGTGGGACTGTCATCATGAAAAGCTGAGAAATGAGTTTGATACGATTGACTACATACCTCAAAAACTTAAATCCCGCAATTTTGCTTTGGAGGGACGTCCAAACACAACTGGCTGCTCTCCCTTTGTGTTTTCAGACGCCTATTAAACTTATGTAAAAGCCCGAAAGGACATATTTACACTCATTTCTTGTCTCCGCCAACTTCAGAACCGTGCTGGAATTGATTCCGAGTAGCAGTTCATTCTCGCTCTGCTAATTCGAAATCATCAAAGATCCCTGGCCTCCAGCCGCTGTAGTATCGATCGGCCATTAGCGATGCCACACTGACTCAGCCCTGCAATGCAATCTGCCATTAGCCGCTCCCGCCCACAGCTGCTCCGAGCTCAGTAACTGCCCGATTTTGAGTAAATATTACCACAGTTCCGAGGCCACTGCAGTGTTGCCAGACATCCCAAACTTTTGCACTCACGCTTGCTTTGTCGTTGGCAAAGTGTTTGTCTGTTTACTCGTATCTGTCTGCTTTTCCTTCTGTGATTGATTTCGTCTTTCCCTGCTGGCACATTTCACTCCGGTCTCCTTCACAATATATTTATTTGGAGGATTTTTTCTTTTCTTTGTCAGAATCAGAATCAGAAATACTTTAATAAACCCAGAGGGAATTTATTTTTGTTACTAACTCCAGATAAACAGCAGCATATACATATATACATGTCTATACATATATATACATATACAATACACAAATACATACACAGATATACAGTATACATATAACATATACAGTGGGGGAAATAACTATTTGAGCCCTTGCTGATTTTGCAGGTTTGCCCACTTACAAAGAATGCTTATTTTTCCTCATCAGATGGTTATCAATTTTTATAAACTCATATGATGTGATTTTCTGGAATTTTCTTTGGGATTCTGTCTTTCACTGTTAGAATGTACATATGATTAAAGTTATAGATCGTTGCATTTTTTGTAAGTGGGCAAACCTGCAAAATCAGCAAGGGGTCAAATACTTATTTCCTCCACTGTATACATATATAAATAAGTATATACATATGTAACTATATGTATATATAGAGATCTAAAATAAGTGACAGTAACAATGCGAGAAGAATAACTAAAGGCCAATAAATTAGTAATAACCACTGATTACTGACCACGGATTTTTGTTCTCCCACCTCCCCCCAGGGCCTACTCCTTCCACGTGAGCGCGGACGGTCAGATGCAGCCGGTGCCCTTCCCCCCGGACGCCCTGCTGGGCCCGGGCATCCCCCGCCACGCCCGCCAGATCCACATGCTCAACCACGGCGAGGTGGTGTGCGCCGTCACCATCAGCACCTCCACGCGCC